CCACCAGCCGTACGCTATTTACCCATAAGATCCCAAGCCACAGTTAATTTGTTAACTGGGTTGCAAGCCGACAAGCAGTCGGCTGCAGTGGGTGATCTGAAAAGATAAGTAAACTTCCCTCATTGTTGTACTTTGTAGAAAGAGTCTGTGGAAAATCTACATGGCATCGACGAATCGGTCTCTTGCATTAAAATGTGGTCATCATTCTTCGCAAAAATAATAGAAATTCACGGGAAATTTATGTTTTGTCAACCTAGCGATTGTTCAGTTGTGGAGGGACGAGCGAACAGCCCGCGAGAAGCCTCACGTGTCACACGCGACACGCGTGATACTGCTCTCGTGACCAAATCCTTATTGCAGCTCAATTTGATCATTCGCAATTTATTTGGATCGAATATCCTGGTCAGTTTCTAGGTAACTCGATCGGTAAAGTCAAACTATTTCAATTAATTCGGGTTTTAACTAGTTGCTAGTTAGTTGGTTGGAGTTTAGGACCGTATATATATAGAGCGTGATCCGCGGAAGCGAGTGGCCTCCACTAGGCTCCCTGCAGCAGCGCCACTCTCGCCGCTAGCTCGCGCGCTCACCCAACTAAACCGCCGGCTACACAGGCTAGTTGTTAGTCGACAAAGTCCTGAACACGGGCCAGAAACTACAAGAAATATTTAGGAAAAGAATGCCAATTTATTTTGGTGTACTTTGATCTCAGTCGCCATTAGCATTTCAATTAATCTTTAATTCAAATGTGGATAGGATTATAATTGACAGGGACTACCGGTATACTCTGTAATTTGGAACTAGAAGCAAGCTTTATAAAAACGTCGCATTTGCAGTCGTTTCTATGGTTACAACCGCATACAAACGTTTCCTGCCGAGCATGTTTTCTTTCAGTTTTTGTAGCATATATATTTTACTTTTCTTTCTAGTTACCTTGCTCTTTTTCTATTTTTTTTTTTTTTAATTTCAGTTCAACAAATTGACGTCAGTTTATCATGCGTCTGACCTGTTATTGATCATGAATGTCTTCATAATATTGTCAAAGTAGTTGTGGATCCACGAGGCGATAGCCGAGTGGATCCGCAGACTATTTTTGACAATGTTATGATGAAATTCATTGTCAATAACAGGACAGATGTATAAAAAACTGACGTCAATTTGTTTTTTACGATAACAAATTGTCAGACTGTCCGCTCTCGCTCGTTGACGCATCGCATTGATTATAAATTCATGTGTCTGTCCGCTTATTGACAATGAAAATTAGCCAATGAGCGCAAGAGAATTTGCGCAGTTATCGTAAAAATCGCTACTGATCTATCTATTTATTTTACTGATTATATCTTATTTTTTCATCGGGCTCATTTTTTAACTTTGAAAATAATAACGACAACCAGGAGGTTGTATGGTCAAAGATCGCTATATTTATCATTATCAAAGGTTGTTCACCATGCACTAGTCTCCCGAGATAGGGTGATAGGGCCTGAGATGAACAAAAGCAGGATTTAAGACCATGATCTTATCTGGGATAAATATTTTCTTATGTTTGTGGGGTCGGCTAATGCGAGTTCTGGAATCAGAAAAAATGGGCTATCTTTAAAACGGGGAACGGAGAATCGGGGAATCGGAGAATTGGAGAATCGGAAAATAGGAATGGGGAACGGGGAACGGGGAACGGGGAACGGGGAACGGGGAA